AGTCGGGCGCGATCGGCTTGTATCACGATGGCCGCTTTGTGCCTTCAGTCTGGCTAGCAAACCACCCCGACCCTACCCGACCCCTCAATGGGCACCCCGTATAACATAGTATAATATAGTGTAAAGCGCATAGAGTCTGCTGTTGGCCGGGGTATGCGCTATACAATTTAATACAAATGCTATTTATTATTATTATAACCATATAAGCCCCACCTTTCTCAGACATTTTTGTATTCACGTAAAAGGCATAGAAATGTCTCTTACGCAAGATGACGTTATTTAGAGTGATGCTTAAGCTTTGCCGTGGCGCAAACATTGTACCGTGAGATGAGCATTGAATATTATTGTAAACTCGTTTTTGTGTGGTCTCTCCTGTAAAATTTACCTGTTGGTACTTGTACCAAAGATCGTGTAGTAGAGAATCTTTGCTTGTACGGTTATACCGGGTGTCCACTGGGGGATCGGGTGGGGTCGGTTTACTTGCCAGATTGAGGGTGCAAAGCGGCTATCATTGCTCAAGCCGAACGCGCCCGATCCGTCGCCTAAAAAAACCAAACACATTTGTTTTCAGGCGACGAGTCGGGCGATCGACCCGACCCGACCCCATCTGCAATGGGCACCCGGTATTAGACTACGACAGATATGGAATTTTGTAAGGGATACTGTTGAGATTGTGAAAAATGAAACTGTTGTTGTAACCTGGCTTTGTGGAGGGGAATCGAGGTTGTATAAGATTCAGCTGCATCTAATGACAGCTGCTGTGCCAAACAGCTGCAACCTTGGCGCTTGGTGGGGGGGGGGGGGGGGGGGATTCTCAAGACAGTACGGAACACTCCGTTGTTGGGTTATCAACCCTAGCTGGTAAAATTCGTTATGAAATAGCAGGTGGCTTCTATTTTTGTCATGTATCAGGTGGGGGGTGTGAAAGCATATATTTGTCACGTTCTCACTTGTTCTGTGAGGTGAGTGAACCTGTTTTTTTCATGGAATGAGCAGGATATTTTCTTTCTTAATGGAAATACATATATTTGTGCCACCTACGCCCCACCCCCACACGCACACTAAAGCAGGGGGTAAAATTTGCGGAGACTTGAAATATGTGCGACTAAAAAAAACCCCGACAAAAACAAACAAACAACAAAAACAACTTTAAAAAAAAGAAAAAAAACGTATTCACCTTTTAGATTACACATTATAAGTAGCTTTTTTGTTTGCTGGTCAATGTTTCACGTAGTGAGAAAGCTTTTCCTTCGTTTGTCAACTCTTTGCTTTCAGTAGAAAAGTATAAACTCTTTACGTAAGGACTGCTTGTGAGTATCGAAAACAAAATTCCACCCAAGAAAGCTATGTCACAGCTTAATTAGTTATTTACTAATTTGTTTCTGATCAAAATGTTATAAGTGGGCATCTAGTATCCTTACTAGAAATGGGTCGCGTTAATAAAACAAATAAAAAACCTTTTTGCTCATTCTTCATATGGTGAGGTTACAAATACCCACAATTGCTTTGGACTGTCGGAGGGACTGTAAGTTGCCATAAGCAGATGGTTGGAGGGTGTTACTGGTGGTTCCTACTTCTTTTGTGTCCTTCTGTTGTTTCTGTCTATCTGTTGTACCTTTTTCCGGCACAAAATGCTGTCCCCCCCCAGGACAATGCCACTGACTGAAGTTGTCTTTAGGCCATCCCCAAAGGGGGATATTAACATTTTTTTAATGCTCAGTAGAATTGGAAATGGGCTGACCAATCAATGTCATGCTCATACTGTTCCGGAACAACTGCTGCTTTTTTCCCCCTCATCCTTACTATCGTCATTTTTCCTCTACTTCTTTTGTATGTTTGTCACTCTCTTGTGAACTGCTCTTTCGGGGGTGCCTTGATAATCGAAGCAGACGTTGTGCTGTTGGGGCTAGAGAGATGAGCAGAGTAAGCCTGATTTCCCATTTGGACTTCTCTGTTGACATCCACCCCATGGCGCTCATATGACCTTATGCAGTTACGAGTGCCGTAAAAACCTTACTAAAACTACTAAAATAAACAAAATGCTCATTTTTGTGTTGATGTGCATCACTTGACTCTCAAACAAACAGAGAAATAAGTTGCCCTAAAAGCTTGTGTGTGAGTGCGTGGCACAGATTCTTGCCATGTGGCCCCCTTCGGGTCTGTCTCGCACTGGACTTTCCATTGGCACATGTTGTGTGGTTATGATTGCTGTATTGCAATGGCGCGTTCCCAATGGTTCTGGTTTTTCCTTAAAATCTCCCTGTGCATATTTGCTTGTGTTGTACTGTAAGTGTTTATGTGTTTTTTTTTTACAGAGTGAAAGAAAGCTGGCTGATTAGAAACTGCCCCCTATTTGTCTATCTGCCCCCCCCCCACCCTTTCACTTTCTCTTCTCTCTCTCTCTCTCTCTCTCTCTCTCTCTCTCTCTCTCTCTCTCTCTCTCTCTTTCTCTCTCTCTCTCTCTCTCTCTCTCTGCCTCTGTCTCTCTTTGAGTCTCTCTTTATATGTGTGTCTCACTCTCTCCTTCTGTCCCTCTCTCTCCCACCGTCCCTCTCTTCCTTGCTTGTTCTCTCTCTCACTCTCTCTCTCTCTCTCTCTCTCTCTCTCTCTCTCTCTCTTTCTCTCTCTCTCTCTCTCTTTCTCCCTCTCTCTCTCTCTCTTTCTCTCTCTCTCTCTCTCTCTCTCTCTCTCTCTCTCTCTCTCTCTCTCTCTCTCTCTCTCTCTCTCTCTCTCTTTCTCCCTCTCTCTCTCTCTCTCTCTTGTCTCGTGGTTATTCTACTTTTGGTGAACAATTCTCTTTAAGATACTTTGAATTGTGTTCTTTCCACCTCCTACACCCCCCCCCCCCACCTGATCCCCTTCTTTTCTGTTTTTGTTGTCATGTTTATTTATGTATTGTGCTACATGTTTATTAATTGTAAATTCTGATGTAATAGGTACTCAGTGTATGTGAATGTGTTGAAGAAAGGTCTTTGACTGAAATATTAAGTGAACATAATTTTCTTGTATTGAGGCTTTTTCACAACTTTTTTGTGATTTTCTTTTCACAGAGTAGGATTTTTTGTTGGGAAGTACCCTCTCTTGACGATCATCCTGAGCATCTTGATGTGTGGGCTCTGCGGGCTGGGGATGAAGACCTTCAAAGAGGAAGATGCTCAAGAAAAGCTCTGGGTTCCTCAATCTTCCAGGATAATTCCAGAAAAGGCATGGGTAGACAGAACGTTTCCAGAAGAGACAAGATTTGCCACTTACGTTGTGGTGAATCCTAACGGGGATGTGCTTACCCCTAGCTTTATGAATGCGGTAAGAAGGCTCTTTGTTGTTACATTTCACTGCAGCGGTTGCTCCTGACAATAAAATCTTCTTGTCATGTTTAAACTTCAGTTCTGTCCTTGGACTCTTACGATATAAGACACTCTGCTAGTAAATGACATCTGTGACGTAGTGCTGTATGCAGAGGACCTGACTTCAGTCCCTTGTGGGAAGAATTTTTATCGAGTATTTCCATCCTTCTCAGTCTGATTTGGCCCTGACAGGCTGGACCAAAGCCTGCCTCCTATTTGATCTAAATTGTTTCAGTAGGGATGTACAACACCAGCATTATTAAAAAAATACTCTTCCCAGGGATAGAATGTTTCCTAAGTATGAAAAATTTAGAATTTTTAACAAGTCAGTATGCTGCTCTCAGATCTGTACTTAAAGTAGCTGTGAGGAGATACTCTTTTAACTTTTCTTGTAGGTAACTTTAAATATACGGATTTTGTGTTCAGCTTAGACTTGGATATTATTTTTTTTTAAACAGTTGTTTTGCGGGTGTGTGTGTGTGTGTGTGTATGTTTGTGTGTATGTGTGTGTGAGAGAGAGAGAGAGAGAGAGAAAGAGAGAGAGAGAGAGAGAGAGAGAGAGAGAGAGAGAGAGAGAGAGAGAGAGAGAGAGAGAGAGAGAGAGAGAGAGAGAGAGAGAGAGAGAGAGAGAGAGCTTTGAAAGAGAGAGAGTGAGAGAGAGAGGGAGAGAGAGGGAGAGAGCGAGGGAGAGAGAGAGAGAGAGAGAGAGAGAGAGAGAGAGGGAGAGAGAGAGAGAGAGAGAGAGAGAGAGAGAGAGAGAGAGAGAGAGAGAG